CCTCCCTCCCCTCTTCATTCCTCCAGCATTGACTAGAGGGATGGCTGCGGGAGATGGCAGGCACAGCTGGCTCTGACTCTAGAGAGTGATGTGAACCCTGACGTTTATGTGGAGGGAGCTGGCACATCAGAAAACCCTTATTATGGCCCTTCTATTCAACATGATCACAGTTCAAAGGTCAGGCACTGGGTGGTTACTATTTGCTTCCTTGTTGCCTTATAAAATCATCCAGACCACAAACTAAAGTTACCATTAGTTCCCATTTCATAGGGACAGTCCCCTGTTTTGAGAGGTCTGTCCGTAGCGATGTCCATGGCAGCAGTGAACTGCAGTCCTCTAAAGCCAGTTTTGCACATGCTGTGATGGCTGCCTCTGGGAATCTGCGTCATTTACCACTGACTCCTGAACGCTGTGTCACTTACTACTGAGCTCTGAATTCTGTGTTACTTGCTACTGTCCGCTACTTATTACCCCTGTTCTCCCTGTGTTACCTACTGATGACTAGTGATGAGCCGAACACCCCCGTGTTCGGTTCTAACTCGAACTTGGAAAAAGTTCTAACTCGAACTTAGAACTCAATGCAAGTCTATGGGGGGTAGATGACTCCTGTACTCCATGCATTACCTACTGATGCACTGTGTACTCCATGCATTTCTTCCACCTAACCTCTTTATTCCATGTGTTACCTACTCCTGACCACTGCGCATATGTTACATACTCCTAATTCCTGCTCTCTGCTTCATGCAGTTTTGGTACTCATGTTCTGCGTTACACACTTCTGACCCCTGCAGTCAATGCATTATGCACTCCTTGACCCCTGAAGTCCATGCTTTACACACTCTTGATCCATACACTCTGTGCGTTATACAGGCTTGACACATAGTAGAATAGGCTCAGGGTTTATTTAACCATGCATCTTCAGCCATTCCCACTGTTTGGAAGTTTGACCACACACATGATTCACTGCAGTACGCTGCTTATGCCACATTATTTCACTCCTTGTAATGCCCAGGGTAATTTGTATTTATGTCTTCAATATCAGCGTCCTCTTCCAGAAGTCTGTGACCAATTGTTTCTGGGCATGCTAAAAATGGGTGTGGCTACAAATGTGGGGGTGGGGGTTATCAGTGTGGTTACAAATGGGCATGGTCAATAGGATGTCCCCGGATTTCATTTGAAAAACTGATAACCTTACCAAAGGGTCCCTTGTGCTCCAGGGCCTCATAGCAGTCAAACTGTGTGTTATGTCTATAGATACACTTGTAAGATTTAGCTTCCAAAACTGATTTAGGACATTTTTCACAAGATGTTTTTTGGGTTTATATATCTAGACACAGAAAGGAGGGGAAAATAAAGAGACATTTTAAGTGTCTGTTTTTCATTATGGACATACTGTATGTAAATGTTTAAATGTCAAGTAGCTACATAAGCTGTTTATCATGCCACCGTGTACTTCTTGTTTAGGACATTTTAACTATTACATATGCTGTGCTGATATGTAAGATGAAAAGAAAAAAAATATGTTGTTTTGCTTGCAGACAGGAAGCTGTTTAGACAAAAGGGCATAGGGCAGCAACACTACGGGCTATTACAAAGTGAATATTGAACAGAAGGACATTGTTATGCCCAAGGATGTGACTGACAAGACTGAGCTAATAATTCAGTGAGCTGATGCTGTGGTATGCATCGTTACAAATTCTAGAATTTTACTAAATATGTATTTTCTACAGAGATAGGAGATTTCACTCTTTTTAGTTAATAGATAGATAGATAAAATGTAACATCTATCTATCTATCTATCTATCTATCTATCTATCTATCTATCTATCTATCTATCTATCACAGGCAATTCTACTTTATGGGTTAAAATAAAATAGATTTTAAATAGATTTATCAGTCCTGATCCGGACCACCACCTTGACTTTATTAAACGTTTCACCTTTAATTGGCGGATGTTTGACAGTTTCCCTCACAGGGGTTATTGAACATCTCTCTTGCCAAAAAAATTAAATATATAATCAGACTTCTGCTTTGCTCTTACAGCACCACTGCTCAGGCCTCAATCCTCAGTCCCCTGTCCTCCAGACAGTCTAAACACCATCCATCCTGCACACTTGGTTCACAACCCTCAAGGAGCCCTGGCCTCCAATCTGACTCCTGGGTGGAATCCTCATGACTCCTGAATTGAGCCCTCCTCTGTCTCTCAGGTGGAGCCCTGAATACTAGCCGGCACCCTTACCATAAGGGCTGCACACAGCTGCACAATCAGTGATACTGGTCAACTCTAAAACATGGACCCCGGGAACGGAGATTTCATCCTTCCCAAGTCTCTTTGCAATCTCTAGGTTCCAGGATCCAGACCAGAATCCATAAAACCTGGAAAGAACTGCAAACCAGCTCTTTCCCTGTAGAGACATTTACCTCCTAAAACCCCTCAGCCTTTCTGGCTGAGAGTCCTAGATGACCATTAAGTTAAAAGTACACCGTGGTATTGCCCTGCACCGCCACATAAGATGTAATAATAAAATAATATTATAAATAATAGTAGTAATAATATTATTAATAATAATAAAAAATAGAAAAAGACAAATAGAATTCCCTGCTACACAAGTGAAAGATAAAACCGGGCCTCAAACAAATAACATTATAACTTATGAATAAAACCTCATCAAATTCTTCATTTGTGTTAAACTGTCGCCCTCTTTCTTTAACAAGTGACATGGTGGAATAAATATAATGAGGAGAAATTGTACCAAAATGAAGACATTTCTTCTGTCGACATCAAGGGAATCTGTACCACACATATCAAAAGAAAAAATCCAATTGAATTTCAATTTCAATTGGAACGGCTCTTCTTGATAAAATAGATGACGTTTTGTTTCCCAGCTGGCTAACACTGATAAATGCCACCAATCTCAAAAGTAATAACAATTTGTAACTATGTAATAGGACACATTGGCGGATTGAGGAGACCGTTATAACGTTTCAGCTTTAATTATTTCACAAGACCAAAGGCTTAAAATATATTGTTTTACAACCAAGGTCATCAAAGTAAAATGCTAACTACAACTTTATTTAATGTGAATATAAACTATAAAGTTGCACAACTCTGACCAGCTACGCCATTGTTCTCTGTCTTAATCTGTATGTCGCTATTTGTATTGTCCTTAACATTTTATTAAAAACACTGAAGATTAGATCTAAGTAATAAATTTCCCATGGTTTAAAGAATCCATAAATATAAAATATAATTGAGTTTTGTGAGAACTGTAGATATTTTGTAGTGTTCCCAAATTTGCTATGATTTAGATAAAAAAGATACAGTAACAAGATTGCTTTGTATCCTCTTTTGCCTGTTCAGTTTTGTAAAGTAATTGAAATGTTTTGAGGGGGGAACGACACCTGTGTTTAATATAAAAGCTATGCTCTATTCACACCATGCTGTTACTGATTGCTTCAGTTTCATGGTGGCATTCTGTGAATTCCAAAGTGTTAAGGCAGAGATCCTACTCATTTGATTTGGGTTGCCACTGATTGCTCTCCTCCATAGGGAAGTAGCTAAAAAAATAATAACTGTTTCACAATTAGCCTTGAATAAAGGGGCCTGTCACGAAATGTCATGAAATTAAATTTTGTACCTGCAATAAAACTAGAGTTGATAGAAGTAGTAACTGTTCACCTAGCAAAGTGAATGATAGTGAATGTGGTAAATCTGTGTTAATTTTGAACACCCAGTCATGTATGGGGCAAATGGACAACAACTGGGTGTTTGCTAGCAGGTGATTGGTTGTGAACACAGCTTCATCTTTGCTAAGCTCATTGATGTATTACTTCACAAATTGAACAATCTCTAGCCCATTCTAAAAGAAAAAGTGCCATTGCTGATCTCCATCTTAAAATGGTAGTTGTTTGGTTGTATTTGGCTTCTATGCTATCTAAGTCACTTACCTGGAACAAGCCATGTAGCAAGTTCTGTAAGAGTGAAGTCAGATCTCCTGACCTTATTACTTGTTCCAAGTCAGCAATGAATAAAGTATCAGATTCATTGGGATTGATTTACGACTGAAATAGGAAACTGTTCACTTAGTAAAGTGAATTTCTACTTTGCAAAGTGGAAGTTTACTTACTGTAGCATTGGTTTAAGCTGTGTTCACTTCCATCATCCACTCACATGCAATCAAAATTATAATTTTGTCTTTCCCTTTCACCTAATTGGATGTTCACAGTGAACACAGGCTAAGTTTGTATAATTACTATGAAAAGTGAAAATTAACTTTGCTAAGTGTACAGTGTACTACATATCTCTCTTCTTACAGGTTTCCTTTAAAGTGCAACTCAAGCTAAGAATTGGTGGTTACATTTGTGGGATAAACATTTATTTTTTTATTTTTCTAACTTCTTTTTGCCTTTAAAAATATAAAAAATCAAATTATTTCTGGAAAACATTAAAAAGAAAACATTGCTCTTACCCTAAACACAATATACAGTGCTACCTCGGTTCACGAATGCTTCTGTTCACAAACAATTCATTTCGTGAACAGGAAGTTCAGCAAAATTTTGCCTCCGTTCGCGAACTCCAATTTGGGTGACGAACACAACCGCAGCCATTTTCCCTGCTCTGACACATGGTCGTGGCTTCCTCTAGTCGAAATCACAGTTTGATTCAGTTCTTGACCAAATCGGTTCGGGACCAGAATCGCAGAACAAATTAAGTTTGTGAACCGAGGTACCACTGCATTTGTCTTCAGTATCATAGGTAGTGGCAAATTTATTGCCAACTCAATGGACTCAATGAATTGGTCTGGTTCATAAGAGTCATGCAACCAATAGCCATAAGAAAAACTTATTTAAATCCCCATTGCAAAGCCCCAATTTTTATATCACCTTGACATCTGCAGAGACTTAACAGAAAATAGAACTCATGGAAATTGATGGAGTTCAATAAAAATGTAAAATGAAGCAAACTGAATTAATCTACAGATATTAATTTATGTTTACAGCTGAAGATGCTTGTGGAGGCACTGTACATGGAACCAGTGGAATCATCTCAAGCCCTGGATTTCCTAATGAATACCACAACAATGCTGACTGCACATGGACAGTTGTCACAGAACCGGGAGACACCATATCACTGATTTTTACAGATTTTCAGACAGAGGACAAATATGATTACTTGGAAATTGAAGGATCTGAGTCACAAAAAATATGGTAAGATTATGAGGACATTTCTATTGGGATAAAGGGTTTGTCCATCAAATGTGATATTAAGGTTTTGAAAAGTACTGAAGTATTAAATGTAATTTTATCTCTTAGAATCTCTGGTGGAGGGACTGTATTTTTTAAATTGTCAGGTGTTTACACTGACTGCACTATTGAGGAAAGTTTTCCATTCTTTCTTTGGATTTTATCTACTTTAATTTTGCAAAAGTCAGCAGCAATTGGCAGCATATCAAGGTAAAAAAGAACACATCAAAGCTACTCCACACCATGGCCTACATTTTATGTCCCTCCCAGGTGGGGAGCCTGTAGTGTGGAGTCGGAGTATGTTATAGAGTTCTCTGTAGAGTTCTCTCTGCTTAGTGCTGCAGAAAGATCTCCATTATTAGGGGAAAGCCTGGTTATGTGATTGACATTTTTTGCTTATGATAAAATCATCCACTGCTTTATACATGGGGCATATTGTAAAGTGGATATAAACAGAGACAGTTACTATAGTTGAAAGACAGTTGATTCAGAGCACCAGACTATATATGTGACTAAAATATTACTGTGAGTGAACTAACCCTTTAACCAGTTGACATCCGCGGTGTTAAACCATGTAGTTTGCCAGGCTAATGGTTGTAGAGTTCTTAAAATTGTTGCATATTTTGTTTTTTAAATATGTGCAATGCATCATTTTGGTTTAGTGTCGATTGGATTTAGTGACATATTTAGAAGTGTGCTTCCTTTTCAGTCAGACTTGCCCCCATCACACAAGCCTTAAAGTTATCCATATACAGGATGATTTAAATAAGTATTCCTAAAGGCACTCTTTATATGTAAATGGTCACCTTTATAAGCCCTGCAATGCAATTTGGAAGAAAGATAAACTCTCTTTGGGTGAAAACACTATTTTTGGGGTCCACAGGGATCTAACAGTCTCAGAGATCTCGGATGCAGCAAATAATTAAATCAAAAAATAAACATACCCTCTTTGGCTTCATAATTTCTTCAGCTCATCATTGCTAACAGACCTAAGTCAAACAAAATATGTCAAAACCAGCATCCATTTCTTCCCTACTAACAAGAAGTGGCTGAACTTCTCCACATTAGCCACTAGATATATACTTTGCATGTAGCAAATATATTATCTGCAGCAGCAACATCAACATGAAAAAAAATCTTCCAACTAGAGATGCTATTGTTGTTGAAGTTTACATAAATTCCTTCCTTGCCTATATATTGTAATGGCCACCTATTTTTTGCCCATATATTCTCTGGATTGCTTTTTTTGCCTATGCATTGTCAAGTCAGTGTTGGTTGTTTGGAGAACCATATTGCTACAAATGAAAATAATTTAGGCCTCTCACTTTCAATCAAGGCCACTATTAGCCCATGTTTCACTGCTCTGCACTATGTACCTATTAGTATACTACAATGCCCCACTTCCCCAACCCCCAGCCATTATTCCTGTATTTTTCTGTAAGGAACTTAGTGCTCCATCTCCTTGTCTTCACCCCAAAAATGCAGGCTCACTAGCTTCTAAAACTTTCCAGGTATGGTAATTACTACAGTGAAAAGCCTCCTCACATATCCCCACAAATTAACCCCTTCGTGACGGGAGACGTACACTGTACGTCCAGCCACAAAGGGACCAAATGACTCGTCACGTACACTGTACGTGACGAGTTATTTGCTGCACTAGAAGAAGGTCTCCAGAGAAAATTTTACATTTTGAGGATTTGGGCAGATCTCAGAAGGTACAAAATATTTGTTACAGTATTTTTGATACTTATATCATGATCATACAACTGTATTCTATTTGTTTGGCTTTCTTTTTTGATTTCTTCTACAAAACATTTGTCTTTAGCTATCTGGCTGTGTAATGTATATAAATTGTGCAAAGAACAGCTGGGACATTTTTATTCATCGCTAGACTAGGATGTGGCATGGAGATGTCTAATGACAGTGTCTGATGATTCTATGAAATCTGCATGCTCAGCCAGAGAAAAGAGTTTTGGAAAAAGATTGGAAAAGATTATTCATTATCAACACCATTTGTATGGCCGACATTAAAAATGGCCAAATCTCGTACATGTATAGAAAAGTTGTAGGACTGCCTGTTCAGCAAGTCATTTGTGATTAGTTCCTCATGTGTATGCATTATTTTATTTGTTCCTTCCCATCATCTGTCTTTGTTGACATGCAAGAAAAGGAAGGTTTGAAGGGACTTTCCAGGTGCAATAGTGATGTACCACATATTTAGACAAAACCTTAAATTTATCAAAACCATCAATTTCTATTTATACAGAAAAAAAAAGATTCACAGTACATTAAAACTTACCAAAACTAGTACAACTATTGATAGTCGTTACAGTTTGGATGAAAAAATGTGTGTTTTGTCTTCTCTACTACTTCAAAAATATCCTTAATAAACCTCGCTCTGTAGCCATCCATACATTATATCAACAAGAGAATTTCAGTCTACTTATGTTACACTAGATATGAAGGCATGTGCATTTGCTTTCTCAGGAGATGCAGAGTGCATGCCTAAAAATATTATATCAAGATGCAATGACATTTTAATAACATAACATCTAATCAAATATGTGTAATAACTCTTATTTAACCTGCATAATATAAATACTTATAGGTCCAAATGCCACGCAGCGTATTTGAGTAAGAAGTTTCAAGGTTTATATGGCAAGCTGCATTTCTTGGTAGCAGGATTTTTTTTCAGAAATGCCCTGTTTTATGTTGTCCCTCCAGGGCTTTAAGATGTTGACATGATAGATTTGCTCGGGTTTCCTTCTCCCTGGCTGGTGAACTTTATAGTTTACTTCGCCCTTTGCTCCACTGCAAACTTAAAAGCCTGTAAAGCCAAGAACCACCTCGTAACCCGGCTGTTCCTTTCTTTACTTTCGCACATCCATTTGAGAGGGCTATGGTCAGTGATCAGTTTGAACTGCCTACCCAACAGGTAATATTTGAGGGCGTCCAAGGCCCATTTGATAGCCAAACATTCTTTCTCAACAATGGCATAATTCCTCTCGTGTTTATTAAGCTTCCTGCTGAGATAGACCACAGGGTGCTCCTCCCCCTCTCTGATTTGGGACAGTACAGCGCCCAGACCCACATCAGAGGCATCCGTTTGTACTACAAACTCCTTCGTGAAATCTGGGGTCACAAGCACCGGTTGAGCACACAAAGCTTGCTTCAACCTCATAAATGCCTCATCCGCCTCAGAATTCCACGTAATCATGACTGACTTTCTACCCTTCGTCAAATCAGTCAGTGGAGCGGCAATGGTGGCAAAATGGGGGATGAAGCGCCGATAGTAGCCTGTGATCCCAAGAAATGCTCTCACTTGTTTTTTATTTATAGGTTGGGGCCACTTTTGAATCGCCTCAATCTTATTGATTTGAGGCTTAACCAAACCCAGACCAATGATATAACCCAAAGATTTTGCCTCCTCCAACCCCATGGCACACTTTTTTGGGTTGGCTTTGAGTCCAGCCTTCCTAAGAGAGTCTATTACCGCTTGCACCCTTACCAAATGAGACTGCCAGTTGGGGCTGTGTACTACTACATCGTCCAAATAAGCCACTGCATACTGTCGATGAGATCTCAGTATTCTATCCATCATTTGTTGGAATGAGGCAGGGGCACCATGCAAACCAAACGGCATCCTCTTATACTGGAAATAACCCTCGGGGGTAGAGAATGCTGTCTTTTCTTATGCACTGTCAGTCAGGGGTATTTGCCAGTATCCCTTAGTCAGATCTAACGTGGTTATATATCTGGCAGTTCCCAGTCTGTCAATGAGCTCATCCACCCGAGGCATCGGGTAGGCATCAAATTTGGACACATTATTTAACTTCCTAAAATCATTGCAAAATCTTATGCTTCCATCTGGTTTTGGAACCAGCACGATTGGACTTGACCAATCACTATGGGACTCTTCGATCACCCCCAAATCTAACATTTTCTTTATTTCTTCCGCGACCGCTTCTCGTCTAGCTTCGGGTATTCTATACGGCTTTATATTTACATGAACACCAGGTTCAGTAATTATGTCATGCTGTATGACTGTGGTCAATCCAGGCATTTCAAATAAAAAAATATGTATTTCTTCTCAGAAACTCTTTTACCTCCTTATGTTGAGCCACCGATAAGGTTTCAGCTATTGGGACCGCAGGTGTGGAGGGGCCTGTATTTTTTCGAGGGGTTGGGATAGCCACCAGGGCTTCTTTGTCCCTCCAGGGCTTTAAGAGGTTGACATGATAGATTTGCTCAGGTTTCCTTCTCCCTGGCTGGTGAACTTTATAGTTTACTTCGCCCTTTTCTTTCAATTTCGTCATAAGGGCCTTGCCATTTTGCCAGGAATTTACTCTCAACTGTTGGGACTAGCACTAGGACTCTATCCCCGGGGTTAAAGCTACGTACTTTGGCGCCCCGATTATAAACCCTTCTCTGTGCTTCCTGGGCTTGCTCCATATGTTCCCGTACCAAGGTCCTTTATATGGCCTCATGGTCCTTCCTGACCTACCAGGCCAGTCTCTAGGCCCAGAGCCTATCATCTCTCCAGTTTCAGAAAATTTCTTATAATTTTCTCCCGTGCACTTAACCCCTGGAACAGGCTTACCAGGTCCTCTGGGCAGGTATCCCCTGGGTGAGACGGGACGCTTAAGCACGGGGGGACTTAGCAGGTCTGTCGCTGTGGTGTATCGCTCTACCATGTCCACTAGCTTGGTAGCAGTTTTGGGGTCTCCGTGGCTGACCCATTTCCTTAGGGTGTGAGGGAGAGCCCGCAAATATCGGTCCATCACCACACGCTCCACTATATCCGATGGCGACAATGTCTCAGGTTGGAGCCACTTCCTGGTAAGGTGTATCAGACCAAACATTTGGGACCCTGGGGGCTTTTCAGCCTTATAGGTCCACCGATACACCCGCTGGGCATGGACCGCCGTGGTAACACCCAGTCTTGCCAGGATTTCAGCCTTAAGTACATCATAATCCTGAGCAGCCTCAGGTTCCAAGTCATAGTAGGCTTTTTGGGGTTCACCTGACAAAAAAGGTGCTACCAACCCCGCCCACTCACATCTCTGCCAACCTTCTCGTTCAGCAACCCTCTCAAAAGTAGTGAGGTAGGCTTCCACATCATCTGCAGCTGTCCTCTTTTGCAGGTAATAGCTGGTACGCTTCACCTTTTGTTCCACTGGCATTGAAGCCACAGAGTTGCCCTTTAATTCTAGGAGGCTCTGAGCCACCTCCTTGAGTATGTCTCGATCTGCTTGCTGAGCCTCCAACATCTGCCGCTGAGCTGTAGTGGCCTGCTGCTGCGCCTCTGCAAACTGGCGATTTGTCTCTTGTTGGGCTGTAGTGGCCTGCTGCTGGGCCGCAGTGGCTTGAAGCAAAGCCCTT